GACTGAAATGTTATAGAAAGATCTGCCATGGCAAGATTTATCTAGGACAGAATCCACTTGGATAGAACAGACCTTTTGCTGCTCTGAATTTCTACCGTGTTGGAATAAACCTCCTTAAAAACTCTTATTTCAGCACTCTTGTAATCCCAGCAACTGGGGAGGCTGAGACAGGAGAATCACAAGTTTGAGACAATTTAGTGAGACCCTATCTCAAAATAAAAAATAAAGGCTGGAATATAGCTCAATAGTAAAGTGACCTCAGTTTTAATCCCTAGTACCAAGGGGAAATTTTTTCTATTTCAACAAAATAATTCTATTTGCCTTTTTGTTTTATTTTATTTTGTTTATAATTATTTGACAATAAGACTAATGATTGTAACAACTACATTAAATATCTTATAAAAGCAAAACATTTTGAACTTTCTATAAAAATTTGTAATTAGTATTTATGAATAATATCATTTTTAAATTGTTATTTATATGATAAATTTTACTATCAAAAGCGTGGAGGAAGAGAAGGATCCAGATTACCATTAAGAGTGAAAAAGGAGCCGGGCACTGTGGCGCATGCTTATAATCTCAGTGGCTTGGGAGGCTGAGGCAGGAGGATGGGAGGCTAAGGCCAGAGGATCGCAAGTTCAAAGCCAGCCTCAGCAAAAATAAGGTGCTAAGCAATTCAGTGAGACCCTGTCTCTAAATAAAATACAAAATAGGGCTGGGGATGTGGCTCAGTGGTCGAGTGCCCCTAAGTTCAATCCCCAGTACCAAAAAAAAATGTTAAAAAGGAGATAATGCCACAAATTCTACAGATAGCAATAGGTTCAAAATGTAGTATTATGAACTATTACAATTAATTCTTTCATGCCTATAAGTTTGATAGCTCAGATGAAATGAAAAATGCCTCATAAAACAAAACTAATTAGTGATGAAATCTAAATCTGAGTAGTCTTTGTCAAAGGAATCAAATTTATTATGAAAGAAATGTTCAGTGGGCTGGGGCTGTAGCTCAGAGGCAGAGTGCTTGCCTAGAATGTGTGAGGCACTGGGTTCAGTCCTCAGCAGCACATAAAAATAAACAATAAAATAAAAGCATTCTGCCCATCTACAATTACAAAAAAAATTACAAAAAAAAAAAGAAATGTTCATGTCCGGATGGTTTCATTGGTAACATCTGTCAGTCATTTAAAAAAGATGTAGTGCCAAATTGAAAATTCACAAGAAAGGAAAACTTCTTCTCGTGTTATAAGACCAGTATATCTCTGATAATTGAATTTTGGCAAAGACCCAACAAGAAAAGTAAATAGTGTACCAATTTTCTTCATGAACAAAAGTATAAAAATACTTTACAGAGAAAATCTAATCCAATACTATATAAAATAATATAAGTGAGATTTATACAAGGAATATTAAATGAGTTTAATGGTTGAGAAAACAGTACAGTACAACATATTAACAGAATAAAGGAAATACCAGTAAGGTCATGTTAATGCACAAAGCATTTGACAAAATAAACCCTTTTATGATAAAACTCAGTGAAGGAGAAACAGAAGAGAACTTCCTAAATCTGATAGCATTTATAAAAAGTTTAATGAGGAGCTAGCATTATAGCTCAGTAAGTACAGCATACAGAAGCCCTAGCTTCAATCCCCAGCACTGACTAAATGGGATTATATACTACAGGGTGAAATACTTATTCCTTAAGACTAGGAATAAGGCAGAGATTTGGGGGGAGTACCAATAATTGAACTCAGGGGCACTCGACCACTGAACTACATGCCCAGCCCTATTTTGTATTTTATTTAGAGACAGGGTCTCACTGAGTTGCTTAGCACCTCACTTTTGCTGAGGCTGGCTTTGAACTCATGATCCTTCTGCCTCAGTCTCATGAGCTACTGGGATTACACGTGTATGCCACCACACCTCGCTCTTTGTTTACCTCTTTTCTCAACACATTACTGGAAGTTAAATAAAAGCAATTCAAGAAAAAAAAAATGTTAGGTTTAAAGATTAGAAAGAGAGGTAGAACCTTAAGGAAATTCTAATGAACCAACAAAAAAAAGTCAAAGACTTCTCAAATTATAACTGAATTTAGAAAGATCTCAGGATAGATTAGTATGCAGAAATTAAATATATTTCCATACACTAGTGGCAAAGAGTTGGAAAATTAAATTAAGATCGATTTTTGGGCTGGGAATATAACTCAGTTGGTAGAGTGCATGCACAAGGCTCTGGATTCAATCCCCAGTACCACACACACACAAAAAAAAGAATACAAAAATAAGACCAGTTCTTAATTGAGTAGAGTATCAAATATCAAAAATAATTAGAAACAAATTAACCAAAAAAATGCATTGAAAACTTCAGATGTTGCTGATAGAAACTCAAGGAAGCCTGAATAAAGATACATAGCATGTTAATAGATTAGAAGATTTGGTGTGAAGATGTCATTTCCTCCCAAATTAGTCTATACATTAAACTTTCCAAGCAAAATCCCAGCAGGCTTTTTTTTTTTCTAGTAGATGTTGACAAAGTGATTTCAAAGATATATATAAACATAAAGGGCCTAAAACAAATAATATTGATAAGTAAGAACATGCTGGAGGGCTGGAGTTGTGGCTCAACAGTAGAATGCTCTCCTAGCATGTGCAAGGTCCTGGGTTCGATACTCAGCACCATATAAAAATAAGTAAAATAAAGGTATTGTGTCCAACTACAACTAAAAAATAAATATTTTAAAATAAAATAAAATACGAACATGCTATATAACTCCCACTAGCTGAATTCAAGACTTATGAAGATATGGTGATAATCAGTGACACTGTACTACTGTCCTAAGGGCAGATAAGTAGATAAGTGGAATAAAGTCTATAGGTCCTGGTAATTTTCAACAAAGGCACCAAATCAGTAAATTGGGAAAGAAATGTTTTTCAACAAATACATATGAAAAATTTAGCCTATGTAAAAATATATTTGATACAGATTCTAGATCTAATCCAAAAAACTAAAACTACTAAGCTTTTGGGTATAAACAGACAATATCTTTATGATCTAGGGGAGGCAGAGTTTGTTTGTTTGGGGGGTATTTTGGTTTTTGCAGTTCTAGGGATGAAAACTAGGGTCTCTAACATGCTAGGCTAATTTTCTACCACTAAGCCACATCTGTATCCCTGAAAGCAATAAAATGAAACTGATAAATTAGTCTTAACCAAAATAACAAATGACAAGGATGTGAAGAAACTGAAAATCACTTTGGAAAAAAGTTTGGCAGTTTCTTATAAAGTTAAACAGACCTGTTACCCTGTTAGTATTTATCCAAGAGAAAGTTCAGCTTAGTTATAGAAGAACATTTATAGCACTTTGATGCACAGTAGCCAAAACATGAAGACAACACAAACACCTGTCAACGGGTAAATGAACTTACAATGTAATACAGCTTAACAGTGAATCAAAATAAACTACTGATAAATGAACAACAAGGATGAATCTGAAGACCATGATGCTGAATGAAAGAAGGCAGACACAAAATAATATGTAGTATGTGATTCCACTAACTTGAATTTCTAAACTAGGTGAAGCTAATTTAGGAAGAAGCAAAATCAGAACTGCCTTCATGGGGATACAGGGAGAAAGGATTGATTGGAAAGAGACACACAAAACTATGAAAATTATATGGCTTAAGATTTGTACATTTTAGTATCTCTAATTTTTTTCTGAAGAGTGTAAAATAACTGAAGGGAACAGAGTGGGTAGAAGTATAGGTAAACCAAGAATGTATTGATAATCACTGAAGCTGAGTTATAATTGTATATGATTTATTATAAAATTCTGTTCACTTTGTATTTGAAATTTTGTATAGTAAAACTTCATAAAGAAGTAGGAGCAGTAAGTAGAAGGAGAAATATTTGGGTATTGAACTTAGTGTTATATCATTTGATTGTCAACTTAAAAAACAGTGAAACAAATATAAAGTTTTTCCATTCCTTTCCCTAAACTACTTAAGTACGGAGAGGGCATTTACAAATGGGTAAAAGATTTAGAGAACTGAACATAAAGCATTTGGCTAAAACAAGTATAAATAGGTGGCTAAATTTGAGATAATTTGGAATTTAATTGCAGCAATTTAATGACTATTAAATAACCTAAGGGGAAATTTGTCTCCTAATTGATTTGAATTCATAGTTAGGGATTTTGTCTGCATCTGATTTTTTTAATTTTTTTTTAATTTGCTTTCCATATGAAGATTTATACAAATGATTCTGAAAGGTAGGTGGGTTTTTTAATGTACTCAGTTTCAAGGCTTTTTTTACGACTTTATAATTAATAAAAATGTCTTAATGCTTTGTAAGTACATAAAAGGAGAAGGAAAAACACGCTATGTGTGTTTGAGAAAATGTATATATATTATATATGTTTACATATCGCTTTTTAATTTTTTTTACTTGTTTTAATTAGTTATACATGACAGTAGTAGAATGCACTTTGATATATATAATGAAGTATAATTTCTCATTCTTCTGGTTACACACGATGTAGAATCCCACCATTCGTAAAGTTATAAATGTACATAAGGTAATAATGTCTGGTTCATTCTACTATCCCTCCTACCCCCTACATATATAGCTTTTTAAGAGATATATACTTGAAAATGTGGCTATAAAGTATCAGTGATATAAAATATTGTTATGAATAGAAATTCTCTTGAAAGGAGTACTAGATAATCTTAAAATTTTTTAATAACTGCTGACTTTAGAACACGTATCTATTAAGTAAGCTAGCTTTCTTAGAAGAAAATTATTACTAATAAATGCTCATGCTTTTGTTATCCATTTTCTCCTTTGATTCCTACATGGTCAAAAATGTCTTATAATGTAAAAAGTATTTTAATTAATATTTAACAAATAGCTAGTATATATTTTATAATAACAACTTATCCATTTTTTTAGATCGTTTTGAAAAATCCAGTAAATACATATGTAAACTCATGTTTGCAATCTTTTTAGCTACAGAAGATCATAAGTAAACAAGATGACTTAAAGACAATGAAAACTAATGAAATAGACTGTCAGGTATGTACATTCATAATCTAAAATTTACAAACAGACAATATTTATAGTAATTGCTCTATTGTGTTGTTCAAATAAGTATTCACAAATAGTTGATAAGTTGTAAATAATAATATTTTAAATAGTTATGCTATATTAACATGGGGTCCTAACTCCAAAAGGTACACAAGAATATATAAATAGAGTGGTATTCCCTCTGCCCCTTTCTGCCCAGTTCTTCCTAAGGAGAAGAGTGTTATAAATTTCCTGTGTATTCCTCAAGAGAAATTTTATGCATATAAACCACATATGTAAAATTAGTTTAATAAATAGGTCTATATCTGTTTTTCATGTTTATAAAAGCAGTAGCATGCTATACATTGCTCCACACTTTTCTTTTTTTGCTTAATATATCTAGATATCTCATTCTTTTTAATGACTATATTTACTTTGTTGTATGGGTGTAGCAGTTTCATTCCTCTTTTGGAAAACATTTAACATGTATTCATCTTTGCATATTAAAATAATACTAAATAAATAATCCTATAATTACACCATTACATATGTGTTTGTGTGTGTACCTAAGGGATAACTACAGAAACATAATTGCTGAATCAAAAGGTATAAGTATTTCTAAGGTTATTGACGCACTCGCTCAAGATTGACTAATAACTTCTATAGAATATGAACCAATTTTCATTCCCAAAGAAATGCATGTAAGCAAATTTTTAATTAATAATCTTTCAATTAATCATAATTCCATGTTATGCTTTTCATGAAATTTTCTTAAATTTCCAGAGTATATCATCTTTTGGAGAATGTCTGTTTTAAAATTTGTAAAATTATTAGCAGTGTGGTTTTTGTTTACATTTTATTCCCTTTGAATAATCCTATACTGGACTTCTTTGTCTCACATCTAAGTTTTTAAATGCTATATCCTTTTCCTACATGTATATAACCTATATGTTTTCATAATACCCTGAATGTCCCCATCATAGCACATTGTCATTTAATATAATTGTTTGTTTAATGATATGTATGTGCATGACAACTAAGGAAGCCCACTCAAGCCTTGATGTCCAGAGATGTTACTGGAGTCAATCATGTAAACCTAGTTGGCTGCCAACATACTTGAACCTTAGTATCCAGCCCGTCCAGAAATAAGGCTGAACCCCTTTACCCAACATCCCTACCCTAAATCTCCTTGTTAGACTATCTGATGTGGTTCAAGGCCCCAGACACCCTTGCCTTAGGAACCACCAGCGGCCCTGGACAAAGTCTAGACCTGTTCTTATATAAGATTAATTCTTTATTTATACAGGTTGTGTCCATGTGGCCTGGTAAAACACAAGTCATATATCATATGCTCAATTAATGTTTTTGGTTTTTTTGCTCTGCTGGGATTGAACCCAGGGTCTTATACATGCTAGACAAGTCCTCTACTACTGAGCTACATTCCCATACTCTATGTTACAGAATATTAAGATTGTTTCTGGAATGAAGGTATAGCACAGTGGTAGAATATGTGCTTAGCATGTACAAGGCCCTGGATTCAATCCACAGCACCAAATTTAAAAAAAAAAAAATTATTTACAGTATTGCTATTAGAAGTCATGGTGCTACTCAGGAAGCTGAGGCAAGAGGATTGTTTGAGCCCATGAGTTCAAGACAATCCTGGGCAACATGCAAGACCCCATCTCAAAAAAATAAAGCTGAGCACAATAGCACACATCTGTAATCCCAGCTACTCGGGAGGCAGGAGGATCACAAGTTCAAAGCCATCCTCTGCAATTTAGAGAGGCCCTAAGTAACTTAGCAAGACCCTATCTCAAAGTATAAAAAAGGCCAAGAATGTAGATCAGTGGTTAAGTGCCCCTAGGTTCAATTCCTGGTACCTAAATAAATAAATACTAATAAATATCTATTAAACACATAAATTTATCCTAGAGTTCTAAAAGTGAAATTCTCGGATCAAAAGGCATGAATATTTTTTAAGGTTTTTGATACCTATTGCCAGATTCCTTTCTGGAAAGGTTTTTTAACAATTGACAGTGCCAGCAGCATTCAGTGAGCCTGCCATCTCAAATCTCTCTAGGATCGATCTCTTTATTTTGTTTCGTTTTTAATCTGTGCCAGTTTGGTAGGAGAAGAAGGTATCTCACATAATCTTTTTTTTTTTTTTTTTTTTTGAATAACTATAGATCTTTTGTACTTCTTATTTTGCAAGTTTTCTTTTTCTGTCTTTTTGGGAGAAATTTTCCTTAGGTTTTTGTTTCACATATACGTTTACAAGTATTTTATATTTAAAGATATTAAACTAAGATCTGTCAAAAGTATTCAGATATTTTTCAGATTAGTTTTGATTGTCATGTTTTGGCTATGTTTTTGGTTTTTTGTTTTTTTTTTTTAACTGTAGTTCTGTTTTTTTTGTTTTTGTTTTTGTTTTTGGCAGTGCTGGGAATTGAACCCAGGGCCTTGTTCATTCTAGGCAAGCACTCTGCCAACTAAGCTATATCCCCAGCCCTCTGTGGGTTTTTTTATCCAATTATTTTCATTTCTTAAAAGTGTATCCCTGTCAAAATTCACTATAAATACTAACATATTCTTACTTAGTTCTGGTTTCATTTCTTTACATTTAATTTTTTCCTTCATCAAAATTCATTTTGTAAGGGTAAACCCAGGGAACTTTGTATTGTTACTGTTATGTAGACTCTTTTTTCCCTCAAGGGAAAAATTATTACTACCAAATAGGAAGTCTATTTGATTTTTAATGTTTGTGTTCTGATGGACCTTACTGAATTTTCTCATGATTTCGATTTTTTTCTATTGATTTTCTTGGTTGTATAAAATCATTTTATCTCTAATATTAATCTTATATATTATACAAAATTAACAGGAAAATATGTTAAATAATAGTGTTAATGGCAGGCATCCTGATCATTATTTTTGACAAACACTGGAGAAGGAGAAAGTGGATGTGGACAAGGTGATATGCTCAAACTTAGCAAAATGATTCTAAAGTCATAAAGAATAAACATGAGAGAACAGTCACAAACTTTCTGAAAAATACAAGTACCTCTCATTAGAGGTACTTATCCAAATAAAGTGGTATCATGAGAAATAAAAGTTAAAAATATAAATGCAAATACGTACAATTATTAGTATATGTAATATAGGTAGCACTTTAAATTGGTGGGAAAATATTGTGAAATTACTTGTTGATAATCCAAAAACCTAGAAGTTATTCTTGACATCTCCTTGTTCCTCCTATACAGCTAAGTCACTATGTCCAATCTCTTCTGCCTCTTAAATATTTCCAAATCCACTTTTTTTTCTTCTGCTTCCACTACTGTCATTTGAGAAAGCCACTATCATTTTCTCACTTTGAATATTACAGTGGCCTCCTAACTGATCTCCCTGTATTCACTGTCTTTGCATTTTCAGGCTGTAGCCAGGGATGACTTAAGCACAAATATAATGTGACTACTACTTAATTCTTCAATCAAACACTACATATTTCATACATGGATCAAAACATCACATCGTAACCCATAAATATATACATTTTAGCCATCAGCAGTAACATAATAAAAATTTTTCAACAGTGTGAAAAATCCTTTTTTTTTAAAGAGAGAGAGAGAATTTTTTAATATTTATTTTTCAGTTTTTGGTGGACACAACATCTTTATTTTTATGTGGTGCTGAGGATCGAACCCAGCGCCCCGCCCCGTGCATGCCAGGCGAGCCCATTACCACTTGAGGCACATCCCCAGCCCCATGAAAAATCCTTATAAGCCTATGTCATCTGTCTCTGACCTTCCTCCAGCCTGTTGCTGTACCACTTTCCTCTGCAACAGAGTATGTGGTCTAACTATCTAGGTTCTAATGCTGCTTTCAACATTTAGTAGCTATATGACCCTGGGCATAACCTGTCTACCAGTCTACTCCATTGGGAAATTTGGGAGATTAAATGAGTTAATACATTACAATCTCTTAGAATTGTGTTTAACACCCAAGTAGATAAAGAGTTTGCTGTTATACTTACTTTTGCATCCTACATCTCAGCCGTAGAGCACCATGCTTTCTGCACATTCAGGCCTTTACACATGCTCCCTGTTTGGAATGTTTATTCCCACTTCTTTCTTACTAAACTTTGCTAAGGTTTCAAATCATAGTTTAAATGGCATTTTCTTAGGGTTACGTTGCCTGAGCTCCTAAGGAAATCCTATCTCATACTCCCATAACTCCCTATACATCTTCCTAGTACTTTCATGCTGTGATTACTTTGTGTGGGGGTAGGAGGGAGAAGGGGTGTGTGCCTGCTCCAGGCACTGGAGATTGAACCCAGGGCCTCAAGCATGCTAAACTTGTGCTCTTCCACTGAGCTATACCTCCAGCTCCTGTATGTTTACTGTTTTTAATAACTTGCCCACCTGTCTCACAGTAATAGAAAACCATGAATCCTCAAGGACTATTAAAATGCCTGGTACATACTGGGCCTTCACTACATCCTCGTCGGTGACTAATGGACTAACTGACCAAACGATACTGAGCTTATGTCACTTTTTATTTCAGAATAAATTCCAGATGAATCAGAGATTTAAATGTCAAAAATGATACTATAAAAGTTCTACAAGAAACTAATGTTTTAGATTGTTGAGGTAGGAGGTTTTTTGTTTTTGAGGCAGGTAATGTTCTAAAAACAGAGAGGAAAATTCTGGTAGATGTGACTATTATTATTTTTTTAATGACTAACATCTCAGTTGGAAAATAAACATGAATAATCAAAGAAAAACCAAGTTGAATTAATAGTGATTTTTTAAAATGTGTTTTCCTACCAGATGGCAATGATAAGAAAGATTACTAATCTATATTCTCTAAGGTAAATGTCAGTGAACACTTTTTTTAAAAATTTTTTTTAGTTGTTGGACCTTTATTTATTTATATGTGGTGCTGAGAATCGAATCCAGTGCCTCACCCATATGAGGCGCTCTTCCACTGAGCCACAACTCCAGCCCCAGTGG